AAAAAAAAAAAAAAAAAAGTCGTGAACACTTTGGATTGGTGGAGAGATCGAAGGTACACGGGTCCGGAAGGATAACCAAGAGGTATGGGACCCACCGGATTGGCAAAAGCTCAAAACGAAGCGCATCCCAACTATTGTTGGGATCGACTAAGAAAGAGAAAGCATGGAGCATGGGGCCCATTGGATTGGCAAAAGCTCAAAATCAAGTGGGGATGGGATCGGCCAGGAGAGAGAAACCAAGAGGTATGGGACCCACTGGATTGGCAAAAGCTCAAAACCAAAAGGGGATGGGATCGGCCAAGAGAGAGAAACCAAGAGGTATGGGGCCCACCGGATTGGCAGAAGCTCAAAACCAAGCGCATCCCAATTGTTGTTGGGATCGGCTAGGAAAGAGAAAGCATGGAGCATGGGCCCATTGGATTAGCAGAGGCTCAAAACCAAGCGCACCCTAGGGGCTGGTCGGTTAGCAAAGAGAAAGCAAGGATCACAGGCCTATCGGATCGGCAAAAACTCAAAGCCAAGCGCACACCAACCGGGGTGGGTTAGCAAAGAGGAAAATGTGCAGGGGCCCACCAGATCGGCAAAGGTGCAGAAATCCATAATAAAGTGAAGGGTCCACTTGCGCATGGGATTGTCTGTCTGCATTTGGATACTCCACATGGGAATATAACAGTCCACAGTTGAAGCTTGAAAAGTTAGCAACGTGCATGAAAATTCATATTTGGATATTTCACATGCAACATGTGGAAGCAACACGCATGAGTTGGTAATAAGCCAATAGGAATCACATTTTTGGGTTTGACCAGCAAGCCCAAGAAAGGAAATGTATGGCTCATTTTCGGGCTCAGCCATGAGCCTATCATGGCGGCATGCGCCCAATCCGAAGAAACTACGTTCCAAAGTACCACTTAGATCATTTTTTCCTCTCCACTCACGAAGCGTGTAGAGAGAAAAAAAGGAGGTCACTATGGGGACCAAATCTAACGTATCATGGCCTAACCCATATGCCACAACTAAAAGACGTGGGATGATCAAACTTCCCTCCCACTAGAGGAGTGCGGAACAAGGGACACACAAATCGCTCGTCTGATCCCATTACCATGAAGTGGAGGACGGGATGCGCAAAGCTAGGGAAGTGGGGCTAAACCCACGACCCTCGGAGTGCTATAAAAACCCAGCTAGACCTCCAGCAAAGGTATGAGAAATTCGACCTAACACTAAGAGTACGTTGCACAAACACTGACTTGAGCGTCGGAGTGACTTTTGCAGGTACTCACCCCCTTCCCATTGTTCGATTTCGGGAACGTAATCCGGAGTTCTCTTTCAACCAAGGAAGCGTGCGAACTTCAGTCAAGAACTTGTGGAGGTATTTCTTCTTGAAGAAATCCTGCTCCAACAATGAGAATATTACAAGTATTTGTTTATGTTTAAATAAATAAATAAATATATATATATATATATTATAATGTGTATTATTTTTTCCTTTTTTTCATTTATTTTGTATGGGAGTGTTGCATTGTCTTTCAAATAAATGTCTTTCATTATGCATATTGAGTAGTTATGGCTTTAGGTAAACCCTACCATCACCCATCGATGCACAGACCATAATTCCACAGGCCCCAATCCAAGTTAAGGTCAAATCAGATACCAACTATTTTATATCTGTTTCGTCAAAAAAAAAAAAAACTATTTTATATCTGTTCGCGTACACCAATGGAAGCCACGCTTCAATTCCGTGATTGAGATGCATACAGCATACTCACTGACAGAGGCCCCCTGAAAATTTCAATTTCATAAATATATATATATATTATTTATTTATTTATTTTTCTATTTCAATTTCTATTTTATTCCTTGCAATGATTTAAGGGACAACCCTTTTAAGCAATAGCATGTTTGTTGCCAAGTTGTCTACTTTTAACATGCTTAGGCAAGCAAGCAAAGGCGAGGCAAGGGTAATACCTACAGCACCAGTTATTATTACTTCTACTATTTCCTACTTTATTTCTTTTGTTATAGTTTAAGACATCTGGGGAGATCTAGGTTGAAGTTGCAGATTTTTGGATTTAATTATGAATCTGAATTATTTTTACTTTACTTTTTATTGTAATCAACTTTTGATGATGATTTGTTTGACCTTAGGCACTACTTTGCGAGGTCATATAAAACTCATATGCATAATATACATTTTTTATTTTCACCGCATCTAACCATAGTTTGATTTTACCACTTCACATGAGTTTTTGAATTATAAAGAAGGCCGAGTCGAACTTACGATCTCTTCGAATTCATGTTTATAATAACACATTCACTAAAATAAAATACATATTTCACTTTGAGCAATAACACCATGGTTAAAAACTGGTGCACAAAAAAACTTTATTTACTTCCACATGATACAGTTGAAAATCAAGATTTAACTTTTCAATAATTAAGAATTTACAAGTCCATTCATAAGCTAAAAAGAACAAAAAAAAAGAAAAAGGAAATATCTTTTTTGTCCTCTATTATGATATTATAATTTATAGCAAACAAGAGACCCAGAGAAGTTATACAGTCCAATTTGTTTGACGTGTTGTTTGTTAGTGGTATCCGGAAAGGATTGGTTCTGAAATCTACAACAAATATATGATGGCAAATGAAGAAAGTTGATTATGAAAATTCAAACTACACGTAATTCTTGATGAGAATGTTTATCAACCCTCCACATTTTGTACATAATTAGAGATGACTGATCTGTATGTCTAATAATAATTACAGGTTCAACATTTTCACGTAAAGCACTTTCTAACATTAGAAAAGCACTTATTATAATCAAAACAAACATTTAAAAATAAAAACAAACTTTGCCAGATACTTAGTCAAGAAGGATTGAAATTGCTCTTGTATATTATACAGCATTGACAAGAATCCTCACAAAAAAACATCAACTTGACAATAACAACTCATTTACGAGGAAAACTTGTACGTAACAAGTGTATGTTTTAACAACAGGTTATTATACGAGAGAGAAAGTGTACTAGCATGTTACTCATGCATATTTTCATTAATTTTAACTAGTAAGAAAGTACTTAATTCACATCAACATGATAATATGGATGATCATAACTCATTTACGGAAAAAAAAACTTATCAGTAATGAGCATACACTTTGACATTATCAAATGTTAGTCACGTGACCATTTATTGCTAGAAAAATGACCTACAAATGTGTTACACATGGATGGTTTTCTGAATATAAGAAAATAGTGAACCCACCATATTTGTGGAAAGTAAACATTTGTGAGTTGTGTCTTCTTGGTCAAGTGGAATTGAAGCTACGGACATCAAGGAGTAGTTGGACAATGGACGCACAGCCTTCTCATCAATCATCATTTTTTTTTATGTCATTAAAAAAATAAAAATAAAAACAAAACAAAACAAAAAAAATTAAAAGAATTAAAGTTAATTATAAGTTATGTAGCAATTAAAAAACCTAATCATATCGTGTCATATATCCAGCTTTTCCTTACATCAATCATCCATCCATCTTCCCTTGTTTTCTCTTTCCCTCTTCCCCTCTCCCCTCTCTATCATCCCAATATTCCTTTTCTCAGACCGTCCAAATTTTCCCCAGAAAATCAAAACTTTCCCAGAAAACCCAAAACCCCTTATCCTCAACCCAGATCCAAAGATCCCCTCCAATCCTAACATCACTTTCTTTCTTACCAAAATTCATATTTGTTCCTTTTTTGGCCGTGAAAATCTCAAGCGGTAGATTCCTTTTCAACTTCAAAGTCCCATCCATTCTTTTCCCACGCTGAATTTTTTTTTCCGTTTTATATGAAAATAATTACGCAGCGAAGAAACCCTTTCACCACATTCTTGCCCTCATCTCATTTCCCGAGAAAAATGCCTTTTTGATGACCCCAAAATTTTGTTCTGGCTCCACTCTTTAGTGGGTTTCCTTTAGATTTTCAAATCTTGTATCAGTTTTGTCTATACTATACTATAGGTTTAAGCATTCTTTTTGCAAGCTTGATATGCTAGAATAAGAATTTCTGGACATTCCATCCATGCTGAAATTTGGTGGATCTGAGATTGCATAGAAACAATTAACTCAGCAGTGGATTAGGAATTTGACTCGGATTGTTGATGAGCTATTTGAGCAGTGGGAAACGATTGGGATCATAGTTTAGAGTGGATTGGGTTCTAATTTAAGGAGGTGAAGTGGGGTTTTGGGCTTATTGTGTATTTGATTGGGAATTCAGATCATGGAGCATGTTATTGGTGGAAAGTTCAAGCTAGGACGTAAGATCGGTAGCGGATCCTTTGGAGAACTTTATTTGGGTATGCGATTTATGTGACCATTTCCTTGTTTGGTGCAAAAGTTTTGTTATTTTAGTGGTATTGCTTGCTTTTTTCATTTTTTTTAACTGCTGGCTTTGGTTTTGATGTTTGACGATAATGTTGGTTTGGTTTGTCTCAGGCATTAATGTACAAACCGGAGAGGAGGTGGCTGTCAAGCTGGTATGTCTGGGACCTTCATTAATCTTAGTTTTAAACGAAAAGTTGCGGGGAATTTTTGTTAGTTAAATGGATGGTATTGAGCTCTTATATGTTGAAAACTAGGATCGATATTGTTATGTTTCATAATGTAATTGGTTGAATTTGTCTCTGATTTGAGGTTGTGAATACCAAAAGCCATCGATTATACAAGCAAGTGGATATGGCACTTGTAGCTCCATCTGGAATTGGTTGTTTCTATTAAGAATCTGAATACAGTTAGCATTCATATAGTTGCATTAGCATTTTGCTTACCAACCTTTACTTATGAGTAAATATGCATGTAAGAGTAGGACAGATTCAATACGTGCTGTTTTAAATTCAAGAAATTATAATAACATCTATTTGTAATTACCCTCTATAGTGGCTTGAGTATTTTTGTTGTGAGTGGTTTGTGATAGCATTGCACAATTTGTGATCGTAATTTAGTATGTGATTGAGTATTACAACACTGAAGGTTATCCATGCTGGTGGAAGTAGTTGACAGATATTCAAGACAGTGGAGAGATGGGAGGAGCTAGTGGAGATGATTTTTATGAGTGTGCATAGAATTTTGTTTGGTTAAGTTTACCGAAGGTTAAGAAACAAATTGGGCCCCACTATGTGATTGGCTTGAAATTGAAGGTTTAGATGCTCTATGGTTATCTTGTACCCTTTATTATTATTATTATCCACATGTGTTTAGATGGTTCTCTTTAGTGGTTAAAATCCACCTTGCACAAGACAGAGTACTTCAATCTAAACATTTTTGTTTTTGCTCCCTCAGGAATCTGTGAAGACGAAACACCCTCAGCTTCATTATGAGTCAAAGTTGTACATGCTTCTTCAAGGAGGAAGTGGGTTACTCTATAGTGTTTATTTTTCCTTTTCTTTTCTTTTGTTGTGCGCTAATGTGAATATTTATTTTCAATGGCCGAACTGAACTTATGTATTTTGCAATGCATTTAGCGGGTGTACCCCATCTTAAATGGTTCGGAGTTGAAGGTGAATACAATGTCATGGTTATTGACCTTCTCGGGCCAAGCCTAGAAGACCTGTTCAACTATTGCAATCGGAAGTTCTCTTTGAAGACAGTTTTGATGCTTGCAGATCAATTAGTAAGTTATAAAATTACTTATGTTGTTAACTTGGGTGCCATGCTTATGCTCCCTTGTTATTTTCTGTAGATAAACAGAGTTGAGTACATGCATTCACGGGGATTTCTTCACCGTGATATAAAGCCTGACAACTTTTTGATGGGTCTGGGACGCAAAGCTAATCAGGTACTTCTAGTCTCTAGGGTGATTCTTTTTCTAAGGGTCATCACTGTTTTTCATGCATGCGTAGGAATTTTTTCGCATGAATACAGATGCATTGTGAATCCTTCATTTCTACTTAATATTCTTTGTGGTCACTTCCATCTGGATTCTTGGATGTTTGGGACTGAATGTCATGAGAAATAATCTTAATACCTAATAAAGCCTAAAATAAGCCATGCAAGAGTATGTCTCGTGGGTATTGTTGCAGGCATGATTATTGCATAGATGTATCAATTTGCAAGTTCTTCTACTTTCACTCTCCCTTTTAACTTTTTGTACCACAAAATATTATTATGTAAACTCTCAAGGTCAACCCTTTAAATTATATTCTTCACTTCCCACAGATATTTATGAATTGTTTAAGTTGTCTTTTGTTGAGTTCATTAATACTTGGTGCAACTGTAGTGAACTTTCAGTGTTTCTGAGTAGAGGGCTTGTAGAAGGTGCAATAATTTAAGAGACATGATTTTATATTTTTAATCTCTAGGTTATCATATTACAGTTGATTTGATGAAATGAAAGAGTCAATTAAGTAAAAACGTATTTGACGATCAATAGTTGATTTTTATGACTTGATGTCTATGCACCGTGACAAATATATTATTTGGGTATCACAAATTACACTACAAACTCATGTTTCCACAAGGTCGCAGCTGATTTACAGGGATTTGTACCATTTTTATGACAAAAATGTCCTTGGTGCATTACGGTAAATTGATAGAAAGCTTGAAGCTCAGTTGAGTACTGGAGGAAAACATAATTCACACCAGTTCCTTCTAAAAACAATATAAATAGATATGCTTGGAAGGATAAACAGTGCATATTTAAAATGTTGAAAACAATCAAGTTAGAACAATTACCGCCCATTTATTGTACTGTGATGGAGAACTGCCTTTTGTCTTCTTTAATCTCTACTGCTTCTTTCTTAGAACACTGTCATACATCTGACATGTCATTTGTCACTGCAGTATCTTTGATGAGGCTTATCTTTTCCCCACACCACTCTGGATTGTTGTGGGGATACAATTACTGACCCATATCACAAATATAATGTATTTATACATTGTCTGCACTTTCTATAAAATCTGTTGTTTTTAGTAATTGCTATATCACGTTTTTATGTTTCTTTTTCACTTTTCATGATGGCTCAAACTTAGGAAGTGAAACACCTCTAATCTTACTATTGCTTTCATGTAGCTTAATCATCTTGCCAAGATCAAAAGAAACTGAGTGCAGTACTAAATTAACTATTCACTATGGCCTCACAACAGGCATTGAACATTTCTTTGCTCTATTTTGTTTCTGCCACAGGTATATATCATTGATTATGGCCTTGCAAAAAAGTATAGAGATCTTCAAACGCACAAGCACATACCATACAGGTATCAAATATACTGAATTTTTTTGTCGTATTTTAGTTTCTCGTGGCTTCCCTTGTTTCTACTGTATCTTGCTCCCTTGGTGTTCAACACCATGTTGTAGTTTTGGTGGCTGAGGCATAGCCCAATTGGTAGCCGCACATCTTATCTAAAAAGGAGGGCCTAAGTTCATATTCCCCCTTGTTTATTTTAACTGGTAAAAAGCTAGCTTTGAAGTGGTGAGGCTTTCTTATATTAAAGGTTATTGGTTATACTTGCATCTAGTGTTTAAAATGATGAGCAACTCATCTTGGGTTTCAACTGAACCAACAAAGGGACCCTTTCCTGACATCTCAGAGGTATGACGCTGAGATGCTGGTAAGTTAGAGATCGGTGCAAATCTGAGGCAAAAATCCTCATTTCCTTGATAGACTCCCAAAAACCCACTGAATGTCGGTAATATCAATCAAATTCTGGGTATTTTGTTCTTTAAAATAGGGTAACTGGGAGCCAAAACAAGAATTGGGCTGAAACTGAAGATTGGGGTAGTAACAACTTGGAAACCGAGACAAACATAACAATAACTCTGAAACAAGCTTTACCTTCATTTTTTTTAATTTTTTTTTTTATGTTCTTTTTAAGCCAGAGTGAAAATGAGAGTAAATCAGGTGGGGAGATAGCAAGACTTGAGAAAATTGTAAACTGAGAGTGTTCTCTCTCTCTCTCTCTCTCTCTCTCTCTCTCTCTCTCTCGTTGGTTTGGACCACTTGGGTATATTAGAAATATCCATAAAAACTATGAGAGTTGTGGTTCTGAATTTTGTAATTGTCATCTGGTTTGGTTTAAGATGAATATCCTTTAATTTCAGACTTTATGAATTATTAATAATTCCCTTGTTATTGATAATAATGTTATTTGAACCAAAACAAATTGTCAATGACTGACAATTATGGAACTTTGGTTCAATTCTACATTTTCTTATGTCCTTATATTCAGGGACTACATCTATCATTTAACTGAGCATCGTAACTAATTAAATGACCGAGTAGGAGCTTGAACGTTGGACCAAAAATACAAATTAAAAAGGTTGTTATGGTAGGTTATTATCTCACGTGTATTACTGAACACAAAAATGGCATTACAATTATATTACAAGTTATAATTCTTACTTAAATTTTCAACAATAGGCATCTTAATGTTCATATGTTTTCCAATGCTGCTATCCTTGCTGTGTTTTTATGCATCTGATGATCAAACTTTTGGGGAGAGAATTTTATGTAACCTCCTATGACTATCAAAACCTGTTTATGATCCAAAGTTCTCGTTGTGGCATTTCTGACAGGGAAAACAAGAATCTGACAGGAACAGCTCGCTATGCAAGTGTTAACACTCACCTTGGTGTTGGTTGGTCAACTTAAACTTATTGGAGTTGATGTTTTAGGATGAGTTTGTTTCCTGGAATTACCAATCATTTACATATATTTAATTGTGATACTAATTTTATTTGCAGAGCAAAGCAGAAGAGATGATCTTGAATCTCTTGGTTATGTGCTAATGTATTTTCTGAGGGGGAGGTTGTATTTTTGTCTGAAATGCCTAAATTACCAGTATCTTTTGTTTATTTACTTCTTCAAGTTCATTCACATGTTTAACATGGTTGTATTATTATCTGTTTCAGCCTTCCCTGGCAGGGCTTGAAAGCAGGTACTAAAAAGCAGAAATATGACAAGATCAGTGAAAAGAAGATGCTTACTCCAATTGAGGTACCATGGCTTGTTCTCTTTGTGATGTATACCAAGACAATATATTTTCTAATGACTTCTTATACCATGTTTGGTACGAAGGAAGGAGTACAGTAATAATAGATAGGGAAGGATAGAAGGATAGTAAATGGAGAGGATAGCTCATCGTTTGCTCTCTGTGTAGTGTATACCAATACAATGAATTCTCTAGTGACATTTTATACCATGTTTGGTACAAAGGAAGGAGAATAGGAATAATAGATAGGGAAGGATACAAGGATAGTAAATGGAGAGGATGGCGGGGAGTGCATTTTACCCTTTTGTTTGGTATACTGGCATTTTATGTAGAAGGGATGGATCTTTTCTTTTTTCCCTCAAACCTGAAAGCAGACCAACCAAAAAAACCTTAAATGAGGGTAAAACAGTAAAACTACAAGTTTACAGCTCGTAGCAGTCAATGCCTTTCTATATTCCAACTTGGGGGAAGCACTAAAATGGTTGGCCGCATTTTGCTTTCACCTTTCCTCTACCTGATGAGAGACCACTTATCTTTTCATTCCCTTTTCATTCCACTCCTTTCTTTCTTTTGCACAATCCTATTTCATGCCTCATTCTGTGATCTTGTTCGATTTTTTATTTAACTGTTTACTGAATGTATATGAATTACTGATATTTTACTCTACAGGTTCTCTGCAAATCTTACCCATCAGAATTCACGTCATACTTCCATTACTGCCGATCATTACGCTTTGAAGATAAACCAGATTATTCATACCTGAAGAGGCTTTTCCGGGACCTTTTTATTCGAGAAGGTTAGCTTGTAGGCTCTTTAAGCCCAAATTTTAATGTATATGTCATGAATGCATTATTCTTTAACCTTCATGATTAATCTAATTGGCAGCTCTTATAAAATGTTGAAACCTAATTGGTCTACTGATTGTAATTGGTGCAGGATATCAATTTGACTATGTATTTGATTGGACTATATTGAAGTATCCGCAAATTGGCTCCAGTTCTAGATCACGAGTCAGTACTTAATTTGTTGGGGATTTTCTATGTAAAGAAGAAAAAATAAATCTTCAGTTTTCTGTGTGTTTGGGCAATGATTCTTACTTTATTTGAATGTGTTTTCTTCTAGCAGCCAAGTGCAAAACCGGCTTTAAACCCTGGACCATCTGCAGAAAGAACAGAAAGGCCTTCAGGTTTGTTATTTTCTCAAGCAAGGCTTGAATGCATCGGTTTTTAAACATTTATATGCTGATATAGATTTTTACAATTTCTTTAATATGGGGTCATGGATCTGGATTCTCAAGGATGGCTTTTGCTTTTGATTTCTATTTTTATTTTTCAAGTGCTGGGTCTATCTGTTTATTTGTGTTCCCCTAAGAATTCACATAGCAGTGGGTCTATTGGACTTTGTTTAATTCAATGGATATTTTTAACATTTCATTTTAGTTCTTGTTTGGTATGGAGAAGGCGAATAAGGCTTTACTACCGTTTTAGTGTTTAACATATATTTTATGTTTTTAGCAGTGGCACAAGATTTTCGAGATAGATTCTCAGGTGCAGTTGAGGCATTTTCTAGAAGGAATAGTTCTGGTCATGGTTATGGTGATCACTCGAGACATAGACTGACTGATGATGTGCCGTCGTCCAAAGATGTGGTGAGTGTTGCCCACATTCTCATGCTTATTGTTTGCAAGCTGGTTTATGTCTTGTATTAATGTCTTCAAATTATTTAAATGCTTATTATTTCCTTAATGGAGCCTAATGCAGTTGCATGTTTCTTGCAGCAACCTGATTCAGAAAGGGCTCGTAGTTCATCTAGAAATGGCAGTACCTCAAAGAGGCCTGTCATATCAAGCAGCCGGCCAAGCTCCTCTGGTGAGCCTAGCGAAAGTCGGTCAAGCCGGCTAGTCTCAAGTAGTGGTCGCTTGTCCACCGCCCAAAGGATTCAACCTGGGTATGATTCCAAAACATCTTTCACCCGAACTGCAGCCGCAAGAGGCGGCCGTGATGATACGCTTCGGAGCTTTGAACTCCTTTCAATCGGCACAGGAAAGAGGAAATGAAACCTGATCCATCTGATAAAATGCTTGTGTCAAGATTCCTTTTGTAGTATCTATCAAAGATGTCAGCACGATAGTGGTTTTACAAGAGTTACTCTGTATATGTGTATCCATTGTTGGGTTCATTCACAGTTGAAAAGCTCAATGAAGTTTCACCTTAGAACTATCCCTCTTTCACCATCTTCATGGATTCTTGCCATTCTGATGCATCGGAGACTCACCCAAGAAAGAGATTTAACCGTCTCACTTCAGGGAGTTGTCTATATATTTGAGATACTGGTAGCTGTAATAAATACGTCTTTCATGATTTTTCTTCACTAGAAGATAATAACTTTGCTTAAAATACGTGCCTTGAGCTGCATCATGTGCATTATTTTATGATCTATGTTTGTTTGTTTGTTCCCCCTTCCCCATTGTTTATTATCTAAATGGAAATCCGGGTGCAATTTTTAGAACATGGCATTTATAGTCCACTTGGTATGGAATTAGAAAAGTTTGCTTCTGTATCTTTCTTGCTGTATTTGCTTAGCAGTTAATCGTAAGTAAATGAGAAAAAGTCACGCACCAGAATGTAGATAACTGAGTAATCGCACTCTGTTACTAATTAGCTATTGATGGTATTTTTCTTTCCAATGGTAAATCAGGTTGTTTATAAGCTTGAATTCCCTTTCTCCCATTGATAAAAGGTACACCACACGTCATCACAACATTAAAAAGGAGAGAATAAGAATCTATCCGTTCTCATTCGGCCCCATAGTTTGTACGTAGAATCTATCCAAAAACATAGGCTGCAAAAAGCAAGAAAGGCGGGAAAAAAAAGAAGGACATTGATCCCCAAACCCTTGAGCAATGGCTTCCCAAACCATCGCCATCCCCACAATGCCCGAATCGTCATCACCCTCGTCCCACTCTTCGACCTCGTCAGCTTGTCGGTGCGTCGGTGATCACAACCCAAGCTTCATGGTCTCCTACATCATTGATGCCCTCATCTTCAAGTATGTTGCCTTCTTCGGCGTCTGGCTCTCCCTCATCTTCTTCAACTACTTCCTCCTCACCATTTTCACCCCTTTCCCCCTCGCAGCCCTTGCCGCCTTCCTTTATGCCAAGACCAATTTCCTCATCGGCGTCTAGGTCTCACTCTAGTTCAAATGGATTCAAATCAAGAACTTTCAATCATTCTTGTTCTCCTCTTCGCTGCCTCCTCCCCCTGCACCTGGGCCACCATCTTTGCCATCCTACCTCAGCCACCAACTTCCCCTTGCTTGGGCCCAATATCCCCAACCTTTGTTTTTGGATTGAAATGTCCTTCAATAAATAACAACAATTACTCTAATTTGACAGAAATGGGAGATTTTCATTGATTTGCTTAAATTGAAAACCATAGGGATAAGAATGATCAGGGACCTAAGTGGTAAAAATGTTAAACCACAAGGACCATAAGTGACTTTTTGCCTATATATTTAGGCCCCATTTGGAATTGATTTTAAAAAAAAAATTGGCTAAAAACTTGCTTCACTTTAAAGTTAAGCAGTCTTAGGTGATTGGTAGAAATAAAATATCATGAGTATTTTAAAAGCAATGACCTTTTGACAACAACTTTTAAAAGCAACATGAAAATACATGTAGGATGACTAAAAATACCTAGAGGGGGGTGAATAGTCTTATAATCCATAAACAAAATAAACTTCGGTAGCAGGGATTACAAATCCACTATAGTACGATGATTACAATAAGTACTCACACACTTACCTAGACACATTCTAGATAATGTTTACCGACTTCTTCATAACTCAACTTCTGTCACGGGATGATCTTTGACACTCCTTATATTGAACGCAATACTGGTCGCGATTGCTTCAAGCTCACCAGAGGATAAACGCCACAACAGTCTTGGTGCCCTCAACCATATGAGTCACCGACATGCATATGTATGCAATTATAAATGATGAAAAGATTCGATAAATCACTAAGCAACAAAAGAGCACTTGATGACTTACTGAAGAAACTAAGCACAACAGCTTTCCCAAAACAGATTCAATATGATGAAAAACTTAATGCGTTGAAAACTCGTCAATGAAAAGAACCAACCGTCCTTTTATTCAAAGCAGGTTTCTCTCCTTGGAGAGAAACCCACGTTGCCACACTTGCTGTGCAACAATAACTCTAAAACCTATTCAAACTAAAACTCCTGGACATCATGCAAAGAGGTCTCTTCCTTGAGACGCCAAAACAGCCACCAAACAATTATCCAATTATCAATATAAATTCTAATTCCATTTACATGCTATGTGATGACGCCAACTAATGCAAGATGTGAGGAAACCTAATGACTTTCCACTACGGCCAATTTTCTAAAACAATATCTACCTAAACAAATTAATTAGACCAATCAAGTAGGAATAATATCAAGAGATAAAATCTAATCCTATTAAAAATAGGATTAACATAAAAATACTTGTGTGAAAATAATTCCAACTAGGAATCCTATAATGAATGCATGATTATGTCATGATTTACCTGTTGTCAAGTTTCTCATATGGTCAAGTCATGCCTTGGAAGTATGTGGTTGAATGAGTTGTGCTAAAACGTCCAGTAACAATTCTTCACGCACTAATTTTCAACCTATGCTAGAGTCTAGGAAATGACAATCCAATTTTCATACTAACACAACATCTAGGTTGGCTTTCAAGGTGCTTTCAAAAGAAGTAGAGATGAGTCTTTAATTAATTTTTTTCAATTCCCATAATAGCATCATTAATTTTTAAAAATGACATCATCTACCGCCTCCACCCCTACTACCACCTTTATCATCACCACCATCACCACCTCCTCCACCTCCACCGGTATCTCCACCTCCACCAAGTCCACCACCACCTTCATCTCCACCTTCACCTCCACAATCACCACCACCTTCACCTCCACCTCCACCTCCACCCCCACCTCCACCACTTCCACCTCCACAACCATCACCACCACCTCCTCCTCCATCTTCACCTCCACTTTCATCACCACAACCATCACCACATGATTAGCACATAACGCTTTCAACATTATGTTTATTTTAGTAATTATTCATAGTTACAATAATTTTATATTAAAATTTACCAAATGATTTTGACACTCTTTTTTATACTAACATCACTTTAAAAATATTGTTTACCAAACATGAAACTGTTTTTCTTTACATCTTATTATTTTCAAAGGACAATAGAAGCTACTTTTTAGTTCCCGAATTCCTGAATTCGTTTTTTAGGTCATATATTCCAAATAACTTATTTATCAAAGAGGATTGCTAATAAGGGGTGGCAACAGTTCGTTTTGGTTCAATTTAAGGCTTAAATCATAAATCAAATCAACCATGTTGGTAATGATTTGGCAAAACCGTAACTAACTCAATATAATTGGTTTAGGTCGGTCCGATTTATTGAGATTCTCGATTTGGTTTGGTGGGTGTTCGATTTTTTATCCACACTCATTTTCAAATTATTTTTATTGTTTTAAAGCCTAAAATTAATAGGCCGAAACACCTATATTTTGGTCCCTAGGTCCAAATCAACCTAATGACAATGTACTAGCATTGTCAATTCCAATAAAATGACGACACCCACAATAAAAAAAATAAAAATAAATAAATAAATAACTAATTTTCAATTAAACTACAGTACTTAGTAATATAAATAAACAATTATCCCTCTCAAAAAACAAAATAAAAAACAATTGCCATATTGGTAGTTTGGCTTTTTCAGTACAAATGCTAACGAGTTGTGTTTTTCGTGTTCGTATAAACCCCCTTTTGTTAACAAGTTGACACGACACAACTCGTTAAGTTAACAGGTGAAAAATATTAGATACAACACGACTCCGTTAAAATAACGAATGACATGACATGATACGACCTATTTCACTCGTTAATTTTTTTTTCAAAAATCAACCATAGAAGAGTTGGGGGAGGGGAGAAAGAAGAGAATAAAGAAGAGAATAAAGAAGAGAATAAAGAAGGAGAAAAGATGAAAAATAAGCTATATAAAATTACAAAACTACCCATACTCTTAACAGATATTTGTGAATTCACAAAACATGATCCCTTAATTTAATGGGTGGCTAATAAATCCATATGTTTTCAGCATGACTTGTTAAGCCCTAACTCGAATACTAATTTATTTATTTTGTGGGAATTCGTGTCGTACTAATGGGCGTGTTCAATGTTGTGAAGTCTATAATATGACCAATCAATACATTTGTCACCGTCAAAGTTAATTTAGTTGTAATTCCTTTACCTTCCTTACATAGGTGCTCAAATAATGAAGTGGCTACATTTTTAGTTAAAGAGGTAACCTTTCTTGGCCGAAGCAGTTAATTATCTTCTAAATTAGCCGTATGCATTTTGCATAATTACAGTGCCATAGTGTGTTATGGCAACTCCTTTGCCCACACGAGATAAACACAACTCGCAGAATTCATTCAAGTTTAATTACATTGCTTTAGGTGTGTGCTAATAATTATCCATGGATATGGTTATATATATATATATATATATATATATATATAATGACAAATCAAGTCTTTCTTTTCATATATGGAAGGATATCCTATATGAGAATACAGGCAATGCACACATTTTTTTCCTTCCTGAAAAGGATTTAGTTGAAAATTTAGCAGCAGAGGAAGAGGAAGGTCATTGAAAATTTTGAATAAATTACCAAAAGTGAAAGAAAATAAATATTATAATGAGATGGCAAGAAAAATAAAAGATGACAGAAAAATTATAATCAAATTAAGTAATTTATTTTCTATTGTTTTTGTAATTTCTTTAATGCACTCTTCTGGCCTAGCCCATAGATTTCTCAATAAAAACACTATCATCTTTTCTATATCTTCCTTGCCTCTCATTCATTAACCTTCCTTTTTGAGCACAACACTAGGGGTTTTGTTTTGGTAACAAATTTATGAGCACCATATGAGTCAAACTTTTTTCCTGAAAAATGCATTAACTTTCTGAATAGACAACAAAATCCAATTTGGCAGTCATGAATGAGTTGCATGCAACTGCAAAGTAACACACTTTTTAGAAACGGGAATGAAACCACCTATAAATTCCTTTATGCTCCAAGGCTATTTGTGCATCCCATCATTCCTAGTTTGCCTTGAGGCTCCAAACAAAGAACAAAAAAACCCCTAAAACCCTCTCCAGCATTTTCTTCTCCTTCTTCAAGTTCAACCTGGGTTTCTCAAACTCAACCATGTCTGGCTGCAACTGGAACATGAGGCATGGTGGAAATGTGCATGGTTCGAACTGTGCCCCGGCATCGATGCTGAATGGTTCAACAGAAATTGCATGTAGAT